GTAAAGTTCTCCATATATCATAAAGACCATGTGAAGCCAATGTTTTATTGAGAGATGCGCATTGGTTATGTTAGTGTTTTTTTCTTTTATATGTGTGTAAGGCACATCCCCACATATAATCAGGATTCCTGTTTGTAGTTTCTCTACCTTGTCTAAAAGAGTGGACATATAGCTGGACTGATTCTTGTTCGGGAAGTATGAATTGACTATTGTGTAAACGGTATTATTTAATGAACATATGAGAATAATAAACCTGCTCTGCGGATCTAATTGAACTGAAATTTGTCCGAAAGCGAGCTTGTGGCTGACCAATATTGAGACTCTTCTGCTTTTGGTCGGGGATGTGGCATGGTATTGATACGGAAAATTTCTAATTCCTAGAATAGGTTTTGTCATGTTTAAAATGGGTTTCCTGCAGGCATATAATGTCTGCTTGTGAATTACATATTTCCTTAAGGGGGGTATAACGCTTATGGGGTATGTTTAGCCCTCTAACATTATGCGCGTAAAATTTCATTGCACCAGATTGAATATGGGCAAGTATAGGCAAGACAATATGATTTGTAACTTAACCATATGTAGAATAGTGCAGTTGCCCTTTAACTGTAATTCAATTAGACCCTTGTTGACTGCAATGCTACAAGGGGATAAGTATATAAGCATAATATAACATTGCCGAGCATTTATTATGGCTTAAAAATTAACTTCAGTGCCTTGGCGGTTGAAAGAGTGATACCTGTGAAGATAAATACAGCTTTTGTTAATTTGAAGTGAGCCTGATACAAAAAGTATAAAAAAGAAAGTTACAAATTACATTTTCTAGTGGGTCAGATATCCTGTCCCAGTTTTATCATCTGTAGTAACGTTTAACTGATGCAATATAAATATACTTTAGTTACAATATAATTCAATTAAGACAATATGGGTTGTTGGGTTAATAGCAATTATCGATGAGACATTTAGACATTTGATCAGTTCAATAATATATAAGATTGCCAAACCCTTGTTGATTCTCAGGAGGTCAGTCTTAATCTTCTTTCGGTGTAACATGCCTGAGTTTCTGCATGCGCCTTTCATCACCTGTTGTTTTAGTTGAGCTTGTAGACTTAAATTTGAGATCTTTAACTAGTCCCCATTTGATCTTCTGCCTCTTAATGTTTCAGCTGAGAGGTCTGAAAATAGGACATTTCTATATTTTTCCGGTAAATCTTGATTAAATCTATGTACACACATTATCTGTTCCTTTACATGATCGTAATGGAGCCTCATAAGAACATCACTTGGTGTGGAGGCAGGCAAATGTTGCGGTCGGGGGAGTCTATGTATGCGATCCAAAAGGAACATATTCAGTGGTAAGTCTGGCAGGATAACTTGGAATAACTCTGTTGTGAAAGCTGTTAGATCCTGTGCTCCCACTTCTTCTGATACCCCTCGTAATCTAAGATTGTTGCGACTTGATCTATCTTCTACATTCACAAGTTTTAATTCATGCATAAATAATTTATCTTGTAGGGTATTCAAGCGATCTCCCGAGGTTATAACATCTACCTTTTCCTCCGAATATCCAGATCCGTAAGATCCTTTTTTAAGTCAGCTATAACTTCTGTGACTGTGATCTGCATTTTAGTAACTGCTGCATCTAGCATTGCTTGTAAAAGAGTTGGAGTTAGCAAGCTATCTGATTTTTCAGCCGTTTCCATTGGTCTGTGTCTGGATCAGAACCGACACCATCTTGTGCTTGGATTTCAGAGTGGTTATCAGCATGTTTGTTTTGTGGCGTCCTGGCTGCAAAGAAGATCAACTTGTCTTTAACCTCCACGGTCTTTTTCGTGCGGTGAGACATATCGATGCTCATTTTAATTTAGTTTAGAGCCGGGCTATTACCGAGGACTACGGCCAAAAGGTTGTATTAGACACGTTGCAGGAGCCCAAGACAGCTGAGCTCTCTGTGTGCTGCAATCTCTTCCCACGTCCGGTCACGCCCCCGGGATGACCATCCTTATTGCAGAAGATATTCAAATTTTTTGAGTATCACTTGTATACACAATTTTGTTAGTGAATGGGTTAATGCACACAAAATACTTGATTTCGCAAGCACTATGACACCTGATGGTGGTACCTCTTATATTATGCAAATATTGTCTGTTTTTCTAAGTATAGTAACTTCCTTTAACTCCCAATATATTTCTTTCAGGTGTATTTGTTGGGAGAGGTGACAAGAACAGAAATACATGAAGCAAGACTATGAAGAAATCTATTAACAGAAGCAATTCTAACTCTGAAAACCCAAGTATTTTGAAAGTTTCCTGTATGTTCTCAAAGGCGATAGTAAACATAAACCCCAAACCGTTCTCGTGTTCTGAATGTGGAAAATGTTTTACACTTAATTCGAATTGTGTTAGACATCAGAGAACTCACACAGGAGAGAAACCATTCTTATGTTCTGAATGTGAAAAATGTTTTGTCAAAAAGGCACAGCTTGTCAGTCATCAGAGAACACACACAGGAGAGAAACTGTTCACATGTTCTGAATGTGAAAAATGTTTTTGGACAAATGCAGACCTTGTCCATCATCAGAGAACACACACAGGAGAGAAACCGTTCTCATGTTCTGAATGTGAAAAATGTTTTGTGCAACATTCAAATCTTGTCCGTCATCAGCAAAAACATACAGGAGATAAACCATTCTTATGTTCTGAATGTGAAAAATGTTTTATCACAAAAGGAGAGCTTGTCCGCCATCAGCGAATTCACACAGGAGAGAAACCGTTCTCATGTTCTGAATGTGAAAAATGTTTTGGGCGACATTCAAATCTTGTTAGACATCAGAGAACTCACACACAAGAGAAACCTTTCTCATGCTCTGAATGTGGAAAATGTTTCGGAAGTAATTCGGATTGTGTTATACATCAGAGAACCCACACAGGAGAGAAACCGTTCTCGTGTTCTGAATGTGGAAAATGTTTTATCACTAAATCAGCGCTTGTCTGTCATCAGAGAACTCACACAGGAGAGAAGCCTTTCTCATGTTTTGTATGTGGAAATTGTTTTGGGCAACATTCAAATCTTGTTAGACATAAGAGAACTCACACTGGAGAGAAGCCTTTCTTATGTAGTAAATGTGGGAAATGTTTTGCCACTAAAGGAGGACTTGTCCTTCATCAGAGGTCTCACACAGGAGAGAAACCGTTCTCATGTTCTGAGTGTGGGAAAGGTTTTATCACAAATTTAAAGCTTGTCCGTCATCAAAGAATTCACACAGGAGAGAAACCGTTCTCATGTTCTGAATGTGAAAAATGTTTTGGGCGACATTCAAATCTTGTCAGTCATCAGAGAACACACACAGGAGAGAAACTGTTCTCATGTTCTGAATGTGGAAATAGTTTTTACACAAATGCAAAGCTAGTTTGTCATCAAAGAACACACACAGGATAGAAACTGTTCTCATGTTCTGAATGTGGAAATTGTTTTGGGCAACATTCAAGTCTTGTTAGACATCAGAAAACTCACACAGGAGAGAAGCCTTTCTTATGTAGTAAATGTGGGAAATGTTTTGCCAGTAAATTAGAGCTTGTCCGTCATCAGAGAACTCACACAAGCGAGGTGATTTTATAATGCATCTATGGATTAATATAGAAATAAAATCTTGAATTGTGATTTTCCTCAGGCTCACACAACAAATAGTAACTTTGATAGTAGCACTCAAAATAAATGTATTTACAAATTATTCATACCAAGAAGAATATGAACTGGAACTGGAATAGGAGACCAGAGCTCTGACTGAGGAATGCAAATTAGTTTACACTAATTATCCTCTGGGGTCCTTTATTCTTTTCCCAGGACACAATAACCTTGGACATTCCAAGAGAGAGGCTAGTTTCACCACCCCCCATGTTAATGCAGACTTCAAGCAACAGTTATGTTTACTACTAATTTTCTAGGTTTTTTTTTTTTTTTTTCCTTAAGCCATACAATGCAGCTGAGACTATAACTAATAAATATACACATTTTGTCAAATATTCCAATCAGCCACTCATAATTTGGAGTCAAATTTCAGCCTTCTGAAAAAATAAAAAAAAAATAATAAAAAAAAAATATATATATTTTAAAATACTTGATGTAATGTAATTATAATTCTTGTATTAGTTGCAAATAATATAATTTCAGACTTCTTTCATACACAGGAACTGAAAGTCCCTACCTAGTCTTCTAGTATTAATTATAGGTCATATGTCCATTGTATGTCAATGGTCGACAAATATGATTCTTGTTCAGATAGATTGATGGAGGCCCGCTGTTATTATAACCTTTGACCCAGCATTCCAGGTCAGACTCCCATGTGTATTAAGAAGGGCCTCTTTCCGAATGCATTCATTTAAACATATATAGTAAAAATCCTTTGTGTAAATTATATTTTCCATTCAAGTATGACCATTTTTATAAATACACAAAAACAAGTTCTGCGCTCAAACTCCCATTACTCTTTGGCGGCAGCAATGACCATGGTACACATCAGCCCCAATACGTACAGTAAACCCCCCCCCAAAAAGTTAGTGTATGTTTAAATAAATATACATTTTAAGGCTGCAAGACAATCTGATTTGATTATTGGATCTCTGATGTGACAAACAAACATCTCAGGAGTAGCTAACTGCCTACATTTAATGGTAGAAAAAGCAGGGGAAAGATTTAAGTCTGAATTATTACTGGATGAATATCTAAAAAAACTTTGCTGCAAGAAGATTACAAGAAGATAACTGTAGAAAAAGTCAAACTGTTCCCTGCAACGAGTGGTAGTACCCTGCTTGATGCAGGAGGAACATATGTTGACTGAATCCATGGTCATCAGCAGGGTAGGACAAGGGAGGGAGCGGGGGCACTTGCCCACAGGTAATTTTCCCTTGGACTGTGACAGTTCAGTCTGAGGGAAAGAAGGAGGGAGGTGCTGGGGATGCATTTAGGCTGCCAGGGGTCACAGGGAGCACTGTAAGGCTCCCTACTGAATCCCCAGCAATTTGATGCCTCTATGCTCTGCCCCCATATTCAGACCCCGCATCACATGACAGTGATCTTTTCTGAAGTGATCTTGCGTGTGTCAGCCTATTTGTGTGTATCAGTGAGCTTGTGTTTTTATGTCAAATGAGCTTATGTGTATCAATAAGATTGTGTCAGTGAAATTGTGACGGAGGGGGGCGGGGCCTGGCTGCCATGCTGAGAGGAAGCACAGAGGAATAGCTCCTGAAAACTTCCCAAGTTTTTGGCACTAAAACCCAGCAAAATTATTATTAAAAGCCTGATACCTACACCCCAGCGAAAGAAGCAACCCTGGTCCTGAGGAGAGGCTTGCCGCGAGGTTCTAGTCCCTCGGTGGGGCGCTCCCAGCTGAATGCGATGGAGACCGCCCGGGTGGTGAGTGGGGTGGACGGCCGCCGCCCAGCTATCCTACCCACCAGCGGTAAGGCAGAAACGCACGGTTAGGCAGGCCTGGCCCTGTTCCCCCCCCCCTATGGACCGGCGGGGGTGATCCCGGTCCCCACCCTGTGACCCAGCGTAATGCCGCAACACCAGCGAGAGTCCGCTCCTAAGATGGCGGAGACCGCATGGCAGAGCAGCCGGATGCACCCTCCTCTCCTGCACCCATACAGGCGGATTGCTGACCGCACCAAAGACGGCACCGGCGAACAAGCGCTTACCTCACACAAACTGAGGAGGAGCAGCATAATGGCCCGACACACCGGCGGATGGTAGACCCGAAGGGAGAACACGTTGTATGGCCTTGGACCAACCTGGCACATGCCCAATCCCCTGCTGAGGACCCGATTCGGCAGATCTGCCCACCCACAGCCACTAAACCGGGACTCACCACATGCCCAAGACAGGTGCTCGGCTGGAACACAAGTGACCCAGGAATAAGCATTTTACCACGCTACATCACATTACACTGCACACTAAGGGGTCATCATGAAGGCTGACATGGACTCTCACCAGGCTGACACGGGGTTAACATGGGGTGGTCATTTCATTTTGTTTTAAGCATTATTAAGCATCTCAAGCATTGAAGCACAATCTTTACTGTTGACACTGCTTTTCTGTTTTAAGCTTATGTCTCTATCAAGCACTAAAAGCTCAATTACTCTACTGTTCCTCAACATGTAACCCACGTACATTACTATAAGCCTATGTGTACCCAACTATGTTATTATAATGTCTTACCATGCGTGTTCATTATAACTTCACGTGTCTTTTTCATGTCATTTTCGAAAAAAAAAAAAAAGTGCCGTTTAAGCTGCCACGTATTGGAATACTATGAAAATGCCTGCAGTCACTGTCGTGGCTCTGCATGATTATTGTTATTTGACGCACAAATAAAATAAAGAATAAAAAAAAAAAATGAAATTGTGACGGACCGACTGGCACCCCGACTGGGTGCCTCCACCAATTGATGCTCTTACTTACTGCTTACTGAGGACTTCAAGTACTCCACCAGACACCATCAGCACCGTAGCCCCTTAGCCGCTGTAGCTTTTCTGTGGTCTTGCCGTCCTCCACCCAACCTGGACCCAAAACCAGGATCCAGCTTCCAGTGGGTGAACCTATCCTACTCCAGAGAGTCTAGCAGGAACAGCTCTTATAAGAGCTAGTGATTAGAACCCAGGGGAGTATTGTGATATGGCAGAGCAGATACAGTTGCCCCCCCCCCCCCACACACGAGATAAGACTCTATGTTGAGGGTAGGCAGAAACTAATTTTAATGGTGCCATACTTGGCCTTTTATGACCATCACCATGCAAAGGAGATGCCACATAGACCTTGTGGGGTACTACAGAATAAAGTCACAGACTAATAACAATAGAGTTTAAACGCATGACACTCCCATAGCAAACATACAATCCCTCCCCTCGGCTTGGGAGATAATTGAGTCAGATACTGACAAACTGCCATTTGCCACTGGGCATTGGAGAGGACTGATTGCCAGCCTCCTGCCACATGACCCTTTAAAAACAGTGTATGGTCCTTTAAAACAGTTTATGGACATATTGAATCTTTTGGGACATTTTTTCTGCCCTTTAAATCCATGGGAAGGTGTGCCTCTTCCCTTCCCCCTGTCCCATTGTTCTCCAGCAGGGCGTTGTCCCAGGGACACTGCCAAACCATTTGGAACTGGCTGTTTTGTCACTCCTCGGTCAAAATATGACTTCCACCTACCTCCTGAACCACTTAACCGATTCAAGTGAATTTTGGATATGTTTGTTCCCCAATTATGCTGGTTATAAAAATGTTTTTTTGTATTGTCGGTGCCCCACAAGGTCCAGTGGGTGGTGTCTATCCTGTAAAATCCTGCATAAAAGCAGCAATTAATGCTCATTGGAGACAGTTCTTCTTGACCCTCAACACGTAGTTTTGTCTCATGATTAGAGGGGACAGCTATACTAACAGTGGGGATTGCTATGCTCTGCATACTCCCTTGAACTTTAATCACTTAGCTCTTTTAGGAGCTTGTTACTGATACGCTCTCCTGGAGGAGAGGTCATCCCCACACGGTCCTGGAGGACAGAAGCTGATCCAGGGGGGACAGAAGACGGTGAGATTCCAGTTAAGCTACGGCGGTTGTGGAGTCTGCAATGGTTGTGGTGTCCGGTGCGGTGCTTGTGGTCCTCGGCGCAAGCTAGGAAGCGGCCATCAACGGAAGGTACTTGGTCGGAGTACGGGGAGTTACGTTACACCACCATCTCACCAAAAGCTACTCCTGCCACTGACTCCTCAATCCAAAAAATGCTGATTGAATTACGACCATCACTACAAGCAGACTTCGCAAAATTGGAAGAAGACATTAGAACAGAAGTAAGAATCTTAGGAGAATGCACAGATTACTTAGAAACAAAAATGGAAGAAATAATCTCGGCGCATAACCATGTGGCCTCAGCCTATGAAACAATGGATGCTAAAATAGACTCCATACTTAACAAACTGGCAGAGTTAGCCCAACAGACCTGGGAACATATGCAAGAACACTCTTCCAAACACTGCTCCCAAATATACCAGCTTCTGCTCTACTACTAGATAGGATTCACAGACTATCCAGGCCCTACCATCAACGGTCCAGCGAGACACCTTCACAAGGGTTCATTATTACACCACAAAAGAAGAAATCATGCAAGCAGACAGGAAAATGCAATTGCTCCCAGGTGAATACAACAAGATCCAACTATATACAGACCTGTCAGCGGCCACGTTGGCGACAAGGACTTTCACATCAATTACCAAAGCGCTACGCACAAAGAATGTCCCGTACAAATGGGAGTTTCCAACACGACTCATAGTATGACCCAAAGGCACAGAACATCCTCTACTCACCCCCGAAGATGGAGAAAAATTAGTAACTGAATGGAAAATAAACGTGGACGAAAACTCCAACAAGTCCCCAAATCAGAGAC